CTCCGTTCTCACAGTCATAAGCTGGCTGCTACATGGACACCTTGTGAAGCCCAGCAGCAGAGACTGGTCTTTCAAGCATCTCATCTTTTCTGATTCACCAGGAGCTCTCAGCAGACATCCCCTTCTAGTCTCAAGGGTCAGAAATAGATCATATTTTAGCTATTCCAGTAACATGTACAATGCAGGGTCTGCAACAAATCCTTGACACTTACTCTCAAAGCAGCTTAAGGTTGTCAAAACTTGCCCCCTGCAGCCCGGCCTGCAGAAGAAGGCACCTGAAAAAAAAACAACCGGGGTTCTGCTAGCAAGGAAGAGGACGGGCAACCCTATAATGTCTGCAACACTCCCTTTGTGCTATTTAACAATGTAGACACTGTTGATGGCCTCATTCACCTCTCTAGGTGTTGTTGCTGACTTTGGCAGGATGATAAAAAGTGCTTGCATCGATTTTTGATCCCCAGGGATCATTCCAAACCTCTGGTTCACATACTAGACACCTCTGCAGTCTATAGGTAAACACGCTGGATAAAAAGGACAACCTCTGGGGAAGGGGAGGGGTTAAGGCAGACACAGAGCACCCTTCTCCTTGGTCACTGGCAGGACCTAAAATTGGCACAATGGCAGCAAGTCTGCTACTTGGTCTCTGTGGTCAAGGCCAGATACTCCCCAGACGTCCCTCCTAGCTGTGTGACTATGATTCTGCTCATAAAGTGAAAACATCCTTTCAACCACTTCTTAGAGTAAAAAAAAGTTTAAGAAAATCCCATTTCCTACCTCTCACCAATACTTTTTCTCCAGCGTACTAAAGAAATAAATTCAGAGAGTGATCCAAATCTACAGTCATCTGCCCATAACAGTAGGTCTCCTTAGAAGCTCTCTCTCTATTCTGTCCTTAGTACCTCCTGACATTTTCTTACCTTCCTCACCCAAATATCCACACCTCCCTCAGCATCTCACCAAGACCCAAGGCCTTCTTAAGACACAGGTTAGGTGTTTCATCCAGCAACTCCCCAAAACCTTAATGCTCCTTCCCCAAGTCATGAGAAGGAAGTTCAAGCTTCTGGCAGGGTGTCCAAGGCTCTGCCTTCTAGCCCCATCTCCCTCTTCCCCTGATCAGACTCACTCCTAATGTGCTCCACGTCTTCTCCTAAACACTCCCACTTTCTGGTCTTTACTCCTGATGGTCCCATGAGCTGCAGCGCCTTGTCTGCCACCACAATCCTAATCATATGAAGATTCAGTCCAAAGACACATCCACAAACCAGCCTTTGCTGGTTGACACAACTGGATGGTAGTTGTGGGGTACTACTGGCATCTAGTGGCTAGAAGACAGTTCCTACAACAGTTATATGGCTCAAAATGTCAACAATGTTGAGGCTGAAAAACTCTACCTCAGAGGTTTCTCTATTACTGGCCAAAGAGGAAGTTCACAGTATGCCTGCATTCAAATATTTCTCCCTCCGCTATTTTACTTGCCCTCTCTACTTTGTCTGATAATGCCAGGGAAAAATGTTGAGCTCTCTGCTCCTTCTGCCTTTGGACTCTTAAAAAAAAAACACCAAAAAGCATGTTTATGCTGGGCGTCATAGCACATGCCTGTAGTCTCAGCTTCTTGGGATGCGAAAGTGGGAGGATCGCTTGAGCCCAAGAGTTTGAGTGCAGCCTGGGCAACATAATGAGACCTGCCACTATATATATGTATGCGTGTATATATATGTATATGGGGAATAAGAAGCATGTCCATGATGCATAACGAGACAGGAGACATGAATGCAGAGTGGGGAAGCCAGAGGTGCAATGATGTGCTCTCCAAAGCACCGTGGCTTTTGTTTTTTCACCCAAAGTAAGTGCAATTTTACAGGCCACTACCTATCACTCAGGCTTCTGGCTGAGCCTCTTCCCCTAGCAGCTCCCCTGCTCATTACAGTCTTTAAGGGCCTGCTCAGCATTGAACAGTATCACTGACTCCAGAACAGTGGTAATTTACCCCTGACAATCCTCCTGAACACTCAATGAGACTAAGGTTGATTTTAGGAGATTTTAAAAGAAAGAAAATGTAATCGTTTAAAAAAACTTAAACCCTATCCAGCCAGAGTCTTTTATCAATGTCTTTTATCATAGATTATTATCTCTTAGATTTCTAAAGCATTTACAGTCTGGGGAGTACTTTTGTGTTATGTTCCCAACTGAAAATCATACCACACTGTGAAATAGGTGGAGCAGACATGATCACACTCTATTCTAAGGCTGTAGAGAGGCCCTCAGCAACACTGGCCCACTGGTATGCCTGCTCTGCCATGCTGGTGCATCTGGTTACTGACCTGGTTACAGTCTCTCATTCACTGGTACCTAAGTCATTGCTTAAGCATATTGATTTACTCATGCTTACACAGTGTAAATATTTTGTCCTATAAAGGAGTTTATAAAAAGGAAGAAATTAAATGACAGACAGCAGAAGAGAGACTGGAAATGGGTAGGTTACACACAAACTGATTCAGGCAAAGCATCTCAAAATAAAAATTCCTTCATATCTTCACTTACACAGCAAAGCAGTGCATAAAAATTTTTCCTTTTCTGATCACAAGCATCATAATTCATAATAGTTCTCCAAGGAAAGATCAGCACATGACACATTAGGAAATGCTCTTGAAGATGAACAGGAGAAATGAAACTAAAACTCAAGGCTTTTGCTTTCATGCACAGTAAATCTAGCTACATCTCTGCAAATTATGAAAACCTCAGCTTCCTTGGCTGTTTAAGTCAATATTTATCATATGTCCATTATGTGGAAGATGTTGCTCAGTGAAGTAGGGAATACAGATGGGAGTAGGGCAGACCCTACTGTGGGCACATGTAAAGTACTACCACAACTTCCACGTAAGGCAAAGCACAAGGACAGTGATACAGCACATCTAGTGGAGTAACTCAGCACAAACGGCCTCAAAAGGAAAAGGTGACCTCACCTGGCCTCAGAAAAATGGGAAAGATGTAATATGACAAGATGGAAGGAGAGAGAGATTAAAGGGGGAGAGAATAGTTCAGTTCTGTTTGGTTGTAGTGCTAGAGAGCATCTGGGACCAAGTTCAAAACTAAAAAGCTACATGTGTTAAAAAGGCGAAAGCATCTATCCTTGCTCTAAAAGAAAACTGTAGCTCCCTCTAGTTGCACTGCAAAGTAGAAATTAGGAACAAGACACCATCAGGGTGACCCTTTGCCTGTCAACAGTCAGCGACAGAGTGGAATCAGGGGCACAGGCCTTGGGCTGGAGAAGCCTTTCTGGGATGCTTCCTGTGCTTCAGCGCTGTCACAGAGCGGTGTGTGTGTGTGTGGGGGGGGCGCTATCTTTTGGTCTCCTTGGGGAGCGGAAAGCGAAGACCAACTCCTGGAAGCAGTTCTGCCAACAAAACTGCTTGGTTATCACTAGCTTCTCTGTACCAGGGTCAAGCCTCAACCAGGGAGAATGAGTCTGTTCCCCGGGGTGTGCTTGAAGGCCACTGCCACAGAGCTAGGGAAGTCCCTCTCCGGGAACACACCTGCGCCCTATCTGCCCCAACCTAGTCAACCAGTTGCCCAAGCTCAGCATTAAACGTGGTTCCTTAGGCGGTGGAACCTCGGTTCTGAGTCCTCTATTCCAAAAACCAGTTCCCAGACTAGAGGCACTGCTACCAGTTCCAGACCTGACTGGGGCACTGTCACTAGATGCAGACCCGACTGGGGTACTGTCACTAGATCTAGAGAAGCAGTAACAGTCCCTCCTGCATATCTCAGGTCTTCACCCCGCCACTGAAAGGCCACAAGGGGGGGTCGGTCCCGGTTTCACCCTTATGACTATCTGGGCATGTCCCGGCCATGCAGACGAGTGGCAGGACAAGGCCAGCTCACCGGAGCCAGGCCGCGGCCCCTCCTCGGCTCGCAGGTGGGCGGCGGAGGGCTCCGTGCCAGTGCCTGGGGCAGAGGCGGCCCTGGCCGCGGCCATCCGGAGCACGTGCTGGGCCGCCAGCCTCCCCGCGCCTAGGACAAAGTCCGTTCCCGCCGCTCCTGGGCTGGAGTGCCGGGGCCGGGCGCCGGGGAGAGGTAGGCAGCGCCGACGCGCGGCCCCGACTCGACTCTGGCCCCAGACCAAACCCAGACTCGGCAGCCGGCGACCTCCGTGCGCACTCACCATTGTGGTTGACCCAGGTCGGCTTCAGGAGCTTCATTGTTCGGCCGCAGCCGCCGCTGGGCTGAGGCGAGAGCCGTGTCCCTCAGCGCGCCCGGGCCATGGAGCCGCCGCCGCCTCCTCCCGCGCCCGCGCTCCGGCCGCC